TGGCAGCCGCCCCAGCCAGCCCCTGTGGGACTGCTCTTCCTGCAGAGCCCTGTGGTACCGGACTCGTGGGTGCTGGCCGTGGTGTGGGAACACGGCCGGACCGAGGTGTGGCACTTCGTGGTGGCCGTGGGCTGGCAGCTGCTGCAGACCCTGGAACTGTGCCAGGGCGCCCGGGCACGAGTGGTGTCCGTGTGCAGCCAGGGAGCCAGCCTGGTGTGGTGTGAGGAGAGGCCGCCGCTGGGCGCTCACTCGGACGTGAGCAAGTGTGCCTTCAGGTTCTGTGTCTGTGCCCGTGCTCTGGAGCTGGGGGAGCAGGGCGTGCGGCTGGGCACTGCGAGGATAGTCCTGCACAACAGCCCCGAGTACCAGGTCCTGGCCTCTCCCCAGCATGTGTTCCTAGTGCCTGCTGCTGCCGGCTTCGCCACCACTTCCAAATTCCTCCTCATCTGGCATCCAGAGAAGGCAGAGTTCACCATCACAGCCCCCTCTGCGGGCTTCATCCACAGCAAGGTGCTGCGCTCCAGCAGCGAGTCAGACTTCAAGAAGCTCCTGCTGGGTTCTGTGGGCCTTCTCTCAGGTTTTGCGCCTCTGGACATTCACACCTCCACTGTGTCCAACAACGGGGGTCTGCTGCTGGTGAGCACAAAGGGTTCTGTGAATATCGTGGAGCCAGATGGGACACAGAGGCATATCTTTGACCTGGAGGGCGGCCCCCTGGCCCACGGGAGTCCTGTCCAGCTGAAGACTTTTGGCAGCATCCTGGCCTGTGTGCTGGCTGGAGTGCTGTACCTTGTCGACCAGAACAGCGGAAGGCTTGTAGAAAAGGAAGTCCTGAGCATGAAAGAGGTGCATTTCCTGGAGTCTCAGGGAGAGGAGGACAGTATCCAGGTCCTCAGTCAGAGTGGCATCTACAGCCTTAGCTTTTCCAAACCTGAGGACAACAGCAGGCCTGAGCCATGCCTGGTGGAGATGGTGTTTGAGGAGGCCTGCAGATATTATCAGAGGAGAAGCCTCAGCAGCTCCAAGCTGACAGTGGAGAAGTTGAAGAAGGGTGGTACGTTCCAGGCTCCTGTAGTCCTCGCTGCCATCCTGCAGCACAGCCTCCACCAGAAGCAGAAGCCAGCCCAAAGCCTACAAGATTCTTACACCAAGCTGTTGAGCACAGTGAGCCTGGAGCTGCAGAGCTACATGAGCCTGGAGCTCCTCAAGACTTGTGTGGTGTGCGCCACAGAGAGTGAGGTGGAAAGCTACTGCAAGGAGCTGGTGGAGCAGGAGGTCAGCCGCATTCTGCAGTCTGACATGGACAAAGACAACTTGGCCTATCTGAACTCTGTCTTTGCCTCCTTCCCCAAGGCTGCCTGGAAGGCTACAAGGAGCTGCCTGCAGCTGCAGCAGAATGGAGATGGCCTCTTGGTAGCCAGGGCCACCCCAGAGGTATGGAAGAAGGTCCTGTGTCAGCCGCAGCTGGAGGAGGTGGGTCAGAATGGAATGGTCCCGCTCTTTGAGCTCATTTGTGCCTCCTTCCTGAGGTTCAAACCCAAGTGGCTGCCCAGCTTTGTGGAGCTGACCCAGCAGTACGTTAGCAGCTCTTGGTCATACGGCAGCAAGGAGGGCCCAGAGGGCCGGGTGCCACTGTACAAGAGAGCACTGGGAGTGCTGGCCCGAAAGAACAAACACAGCGAGGCAGATGAGGAGATGGAGCTGGAACTGCTGCTCTGCAGCAAGAGGCCTAAGGCTGTGCTGCAAGCTCTGCACCTTCTCATCCATCTGAAGCAGTGGCAGCGGGTGGTGGAGGTGGCAGAGAAGTTCTCCAAACTCAGCCCCTTGCTCAACAAGGAGATATTCATCACACTGCTGGCTGAGTTTGCCCAGCACCGGGAGCTGGACCCTTACCTGGACAGGCTGTGGCCGCTGTGCCCTGCTGAGCTCACCGCCTCAGACATCCTCACCACGGTCCTGCAGCACCTCCCTCATTCCCAGGAGGAGCCAGTGCCCTTCTCCAGTGAGGGGAACCAGCTGACTGTGGGCTTGCTTAAGCCACTGCTGCAAAGGGTTGTGCAGCGTCCCAGTGTCCAGGATGAGATGTACTCTGATGCCCTGCAGAGCAGCACCTTCCCCCCTCCCACCCCACCACGAGAGCACAAAATCCCCTCAAAAGCAGTGGCTGATGATGTTCCTCAGCCATCTATGGCAAGGACTTCCTCACCCTCAGCACTGCTACAGGATGACAGTGTGTGAAGGGGGGAAGGACAGTGTCATCCCAAGCCCTGGGTGCACAAGGAAGGGAAATCCTACCTGTGTTGGCAGTACAGAAGCCTGCTGCTTTCTGAAGCATCCTTGCAGCATCTTGAAGAGCCTGTTGGTGGCTGAGGTTGGGGGATCTCTGAGCCAGGGCAGGCTTTCTGGTTATTCCTAGCAAGTGCAATTGTGTGTGTGCCAGTGGAGGAGCAAATGCCAGGTGCATTTGCAGATGAAAGCGCTGGCTGCACTACAAAACTACAGAACTGCTCCCTGCCCAAAGCACTTTGTTTTCAGTTTGTTTTGCTCCTTTCTAGCTCCACTTCTACTTCCCTGATGCTCTGGTACTGGTGGTGGAGTGGTAGGCAGTACACAGTCCTTCCCCCCCATTGAACCCCTCAGTGAACTGGGTGGTACCTCCAAGCTCTGCCTGTGAAACAGAAACAGAGCATGTTTCCTGCAGCAGGGTCACTGAGTGCTGCTGCTTTGGGCTCAGTCAGATGCTAAAGGCCAGTGTGGCACAGCTCCATGGCACTGGGAATCCCAGCACACACGCTGGCAGTTGCAGCAGTCCACACATTGTCTGGCCACAGCTCCTCTGGGATCAGTCCTGTAGCTGTGACTGATTGCAGCTACTTAGCTGAAAAGAGCAGCCTAATTCCCTTATCTCTCCGTCCCAGACAGTACCCAAACTCTCTGCTGAGCTGAGAAGCTTGCAGCAGGCTATGAGAGCTTGGGGCTGGCCCTGCCTTCCCCTTTCCTTTGTGGAAGCTTAGATTATGCTGCAGGACACCCGAGCCCTCTGTTCCCATCTCCTCTACCTTTGCCCTTTGCATACAAAGGGGCTTTGTCAGGATTGTCTGGCTCATATTGTGCCTCTGTTTGCAAAAATCGATGTAACTTGAGAGCAGTTTGTGCAGGAAGATCCAGGTTCCAGCCTCTCTCAGGTGCTGGTCCCCTCCACCCAGAGGGAGACCCTCACTGTGGCTTTGCCCCTGCATTCTGGGCTCTGGTGTAAAGGAGCTGTCTGGTGCCTTGTTGGGCTGCGGGAGATTCACCTGCATTAATCCTCTTGAGAGTGGTCTTAAGTGTGGAAGACAGACTCCTTTTAAAAATAAAGGTTCTAAAGAACTGCTGAGGTGGTGGTGGATGTTATGAGGGTACACACCCTCAGGAGGAGGGCAGTCTTGTTTTGCCTCTGGTGAAAAGTGGCCAGGCTCATCTCCCTGGTGCTGCCCAGCATGGCTCACAACTGGTAGAGCTGGGCTCAGAGAGCTTGCCCAGGCAGCTCATTCCCTCTGTGGTACTCAGCTGCTCACCACTGTGAAGCCACAGAGGCAGAGTCTGCACAGGCAGGCTGCAGCTCTGTGCCACAGGGAAGGGCCATCAGGCCATGCACAGCTGTGGCTGGGCCCAACAGAGAGTTGAGGAAGGGAGGATTTTTTTCTCAAGAGCTGCAAATTCTCTATTTTTTAGGAAAACTAGCAACAGAGAGCACCTGGCTGGCCCAGCAAAATCCTGCAGTGCCAGAGCTGCCCTTGGAGAGATTATTGTTTGTGAAACCATTGTAAAGGTGTGGCAGGGTCTCCCCCAGAGAAAGCCTTGGCTGTGGAAAGTCCCCGTGGTGGAAAAAGGCCTGGCAAAGAGGAAGAGAAACTGCTGCAATGGTTCCCTAGAGACTGGCTGGTTATTGATGAGACCTTCCTTGGGGGGGTCCTTGTGCTGTGGCCATGGGGCACTGTGAGTTTCCCTCTCACTCTGGCAGCTGCCACACGTGAGTGGAGGGAGTGGGGCCTGAAAGGAGAGCTGGTGGCATCCACTGTGGGCATTCTGTAATGAGCTGTCCTTGCCTTCTCTCCAGGCAGCTGGTGGCCTTGCCTGACTCTGGTCTCAGCCCCCTCCCAGGGCTGTTTGGGAGGAGGATAATGGATGGAACCCAGCACCTCTTAGAGCCATGGCTCCAGAGATTGGAACACTGCCCTGGAGCTGCACTGAATGGGGAGCTGCTGAGAGCAAGCCCCACACCTTGGCAAAGGCTGTGCAGTCATTTGGGGGGATATCTTCATTGCCAGGGCTGGGTTTAGGTGCAGGTAGCCACAGTGACACAGTGAATGAGACTGAAGCTCCCTGCCTTCCAGCACTGGCTCTGCAGAAAACAGAGAGCAGGGAAGAAGCAATGCCCACAAAGCCAGCAGCAGTGCTGTGTGAGACACAGCATCCCCGAGGCACAGCAAGGGAGGAGGAAGTGGGAACATGACGCAGTAGGAACAGCCTGAGGCCTGGGGGCAGAAGTCTCCATGTATGGGCCCCAGACAAACAGAAATAGAATTCTGGAGGCTGAGGGTCCAGGGCAGAAAACTGAGCTGAATGCTTCCGATATCTCACACCAAGAACCAGGAAGCATGAGCATCCTTGGGGGAAACAGGGGCCAAAGCAACCTGAAGGACAGATTGAGCTGACTTACAGGCAAGCCCAGGGCTCTCTCTGCAGTCAGATTCTGCTGGGAGGAGACAGCAGGAGGTAAGGCTGGTGCAGCCTCAGATAAAGGCCAAAGGAAAAACCAGCAGTTGGATCTGAAGGCAAGTGGAAAAAGCGGTAAGAGATGCACATAGTGGAGGGGGAGCTGGCCTGGCCCTCACTCTGCTCCAGAGAAACTTGGACTTTGCCACAAAGGAAATGAGTCAAGCTGCTCACGTATATCCCCTGTGCCTGACACAGCTTTCAGGATGGGCCCTGCACTTTCACCAAGGAGCAGCACAAAGCAATACCTGAACTCAGCCCAAGGGTCCAGACCAAGTCACCCTTGATTTATCTGTGCAGAGCACGGTGTGTGCAGAGGTGAGCACAGAAAGTACCCATGGCACCGTATCTTACAGAGAGAAGGAAGTGTAGGCTGCAAGCACCCCATAAACTCACTGGAAATCGACAGATGATACATGCTAGGGTTGCCAGAGGGAAGGGCTTATGTGCTGGGGACAGCTTGGGGTGGCACTTTATAGACAGGAGGCTCTTTGTGCGCCTTGTCCCAGGGAGGGACCTGGCACTCATCCAGTCAGAGGTGCAAAGGGCAGCCCAGTGAGGGGACATCACCCAGTCATGGTCACACTGAGCAGTGATCCTGTATCTACCCATAGGCTGGATGTGGGCAGAGCACACTTGGGAACAGCAGAAAGAGCCCCGTGGTCCCAGGCACAGCCTCAGCTTGTGGGGTACCTTCCAGCCCTGCTTACTTCCATCACTGCTAGACCTGAGGAGCACAGTCACATCCCACAGTGCACACAAACACACCATTTATTATTTGACACCAAAAATTACAGCCCTGGAAACAGGCAGGTTCCCTGCAAAAATAAATAATCACATTTTTCAAGTGGGGGGGTCTGTCCATTTCTTCCATCTGTGGGTGATGGGAGCTAATGCCTTGTGGAAGGCCTGGGGATTTTGTAGGAGTTGAATGTTGGTGGCCTGCAAAACCAAGGTCACATATGTCAGCCACAGAGGGGGGTAAGGGACAGCTCAGGATGCACTGGGATGGTCAAATATCATCACACTCCTATCACCTAGCCCCACAGGAAATAGGGTATGGAGACACCTTCCCCAAACCCACCAGCTTGGGAGAGTGGGACCAGCAGCACCTCCAGTCCTGGGAGTGTGGGAAGATGATAGGGGACACCACAACTGCATGCACTACACAAGTCCCACCTTCACAGCCATCCTCTGATACCAGCACATTCCTTGGTCCCCACCCCCTCCCTCTGTCCCCTGACCCCCCTGTACCTACAGGGGCTGCCTCCCACCCCACAAAGGGACCTGGCAGTGTAAGTAGCTTACATCTCAAAGTCTTCATTCCTAGAGGGGAGAAAAAAGAGGGGACAGTGTTAGTGGGGCAAGAAGATGCCTTGTAGGACAGGACAACATCTCATGGTAGGACAGGGTCTCCCATGGGTCATAAAAGGAGAGCAAATGAGCCTCAGGGTGCTGTGGTCCCCTCCATCCTGGCTGTCTGGTCTGATCAGAGAGCACTGGCTCTTACAGCCCCCCAAAGCATCAGTGCCCCTTCCCCAGGCAGGCAGAGCAGGGCCCCACGCTCAGCAGCACCAGCTCCCTGTGCCTCAGCTTGAGCTCCCTGAGGTTCCTGGGCAGCTGAGCCTGTGTCTCCAGCCAGCTCAGAGGGGTGGCAGGAGCTGGGGAACCCCCAGCACAGCAGCTGCACCACAGGGCCATGAGGTAGCCCTCAGGAGTCAGAAATCCAGCTAGAAACTGCTCACTGTCCCCAGGGGTCAGTGCCTGTGCTGGTGGTGGAGCTGCCAGGCAGAGTGTCCCAGAGGGCTGGGGGACAGCCCCAGGACACTGGTGGCCACAGGCATGTGAGCAAGCACTGCACCCTCGTGGCAATGCCACCAACCACACAGCACACTGCATTCTGCACAGCATCCCTGGGCTCCCATGCCAGAGCTCCAGCACAAAAATGGTGCAAAACACAGTGAGTCAGGTGGTGGACTTGAGCCAGGCTGTGGCTGCAGCCCTGCCAGGCTCCTTCCTCCAAAGGGAATTCACCTTAGTCTGCCCTCCCTACCAGGAGGTTCAGAGCAGGCAGAGAAAAGCTCCAGAACATGCCCATCCTCAGAGGCTGAGGGCCCCAAGTCACCTCTCAGGTTCTCCCCAGCCCACATTGCTTTAGCATGAGCCCCACAGGCTACCACAGGACATGAAGGAGCAGGTGGCAGGGGGGACCTCACACCCAGTGTGGTCCCAGGGGCGGAGCTGCTCCTCACCTGTACACATCAGCAATATCCATGCGGCGGTAAAACTTGGCAAGTCTGACAGACAGGACGATGCTGGGCAGCAGGAACAAGGTGCACCAGCCCAGGCTGAACCAGAAGGCATTCTGCATAGGGTGCAGGAAGAGCCATGAGGTCCAGAGAGTGACTGGGAGCATCTGTTCTGCTCCCAGTGCTCCCCAATAACCACCCACTCCTTCTCAGAGCCTGGCCCTTCCTCTTAGCCACAGCACTTTGCTGGGCAGGAGCTGAGCACTGCTTCCTGTGCATCCCTGATCCTTCCCTGCATCCCTTATCCTGTGCATGAGGAGGACAAGAGGACCTCGGTGCCACCCCACAGGTGTGTGTCACTCTACACACTGCTGCCCCACTCACCACAGAGTCCATGATATAGTCACAGCCAATGACCTCCACATCATCCAAGGACTGAGCTATGGGCTTGCAACGTGCCACATCTTTTGTCACCTGGGGACATGGTGGGGACAGCATATGTCAGCATCCACCAAGCCTTGCAGCTCATTCTCCCTTTCTCTCCACTTCACTGAGGAAGGCTCAGCTTACCCTGCTCTTGGCCCATGAAATGTAGGTCTCAAAGAAATCCAACAGCTGGTCCAGGAAGGCCAATGTCTCCTGGAGGGGCAAGCACAGAGTGGAGATGTTGCACCACCAGCCCCCTCCATGTCAGGATCGGGGGGCTCTCAGACCACCTCAGCCCAGCAGCAACAGGGCTGAATGCTTCACCCCACCCTGGGATGCCATAAGGGAAGGGGGCACTCAGAGGTGCAAGAGACACTCAGGGAAGGCAGGATGAGCAGCCAGACAAGGTTTGGCTTCCCTGTATAGAGGGAGGTCTTGGTGAGGGGGTCTGGTGTGTAACCTGACAGCAGGGCAAGGCAAGCTCACGTTCTTGATGATGTTTGGCATCTCCCTCTCCAGGAATTCCTGGGTTTTGTTGGCTTTGTCCAGTGCAGCTGTTGTCTGTCCCTGAGGTGAAAGGTGTTCTCAGCACTGTGATCTAAGAGGGGTCTCTGCCCTTCACCAGCCCTGCAAGCAGGACTCCCTGGGGCAGAGCCTCTCAGAGCTGTGGTGCTCCCAGCAGTGACACACTGCTAGTGCCAGGTACACATTGGTAGTGCCAGGTACCTCAGGTGGAGGGAGCCCGTGCCTGGCAGGGTCCATGGCCTCCCTCCACCTTCATGGCCCCCATGAACAGCCCCTGCAGCACATGAAGAGTGCCACCGCAGCCCCCAGACTGCAGGTCAGCCCCACCACCTCCACTGCAGGACCTCGAGGGTGCTTTGCAGGGTGCCCAGGACTGGCATGCACTCCCCTTGTGCAGCTTACCTCCAGCTGGGCAGCCCCACTCTGCACTGAGTGGATGTTCTCCTTCAGATTTTGCTGGGGACAGAGAAGGGGAGTCAGAGGTGCAGCCCCAGACCCTGCCAGCAGGGCCTGAGCTCTAGGGAAGCCCAGCCCAGCATCCCCAGGACACCCCAGCGTCGCTCACCAGTGGCCCAGAGAAGTTCCCCTGCATCTCCTTTTCCAGATCCCTCAGTTCACGAGCATTATCTTCCAGGTCCTTCTTCACATCTGTGCTCTGCAAGCGCTGCAGTCAGCAGTGCCCAGCTCTGGGCCTCCCCTCAACACCCAGGTAGGCACAGAGGAGCCCAGTAACCAGTGGCTTTGGGGACAGGCTGGCTATGGCCCTGGGGTCTCATGGTCTCTCACCACATTTTCTGCCAGCTGCTCCAACTCTACAGCCAGATCCAGGAGGCTTCCTTGGATAATATTCTGATCCAGCTGGAAAAGGCAGAGACAGAGCCATGAGAATGAGGACTGAGGTTCACAAGGGGAGCTAAACCCCTTCTTTGTGGGACAGAGTGGAGCCAGGGCCTTCTAGGCAGAGGATGTGCCTTGTTACCCTAACAGGGTGCACAGATGGCAGAGGACTCTCCCAGCAGCAAAAAGGAGAGTGCAATAGAAGCTCCTCAACCCACATCCAATCCCCCCACCCCGATCCCAAGACCAGGCTACACCCAGCACACCTGCTCCAGGGTGAGGGTGAAGTTGGGAGGCTGTGCAGCCTGACTGGCCCTCAGCAGCAGGTCCTTCTGGCTCTGGTTGAGCAGGGAGATGGGGCTTAGGGTGATGTTCATCTTCTCAAAAGCTGTGGAGATGTCTCCTGCGTACTGCCAGAGCAAAGGGGGCCATGATGGGACATGTGCTGGCCCCTCACTGTCCCCTCAGCCCTTGGGCAAGAGTGTGAGTGAGTGTGAGCAGTGTGAGTAGTGTGCAAGAGTGTGAGTAGTGTGCAAGAGTGTGAGTAGTGAGAGTAGTGTGCAAGTGTGCGTGTGAGTGGTGTGCAAGAGTGTGAGTAGTGTGAGCAGTGTGCAAGTGTGAGTGTGAGTAGTGTGCAAGAGTGTGAGTAGTGTGAGCAGTGTGCAAGAGTGTGAGTGTGAGTAGCGTGCCCTCAAGACCCCGGTCCCCCCATGCTCACCTGGCTGATATTCAGGAGCTCGTCCAGGGACACGCTCTGGTCCAAGTGCAGAGTTTGCCACAGGGACGCGTCGTGCTGGCACTGCCTGCAGGATGGGCCATGGGGTTTAGAACAGGGCAGGTGAAGCCGCCTTCTCACAGGAGCATGTCCTCACCTGTGCAGGTAGGTTGCACCTTGCTCCTTCCCTGTGATCAGTGCCTACCGACAGCCTGGGTAGGCAGGGCAAGCTGCCCTGCTCCTGGAGATTATCTGAGGGCATTGAGCAGCTCTACCCCACCAAGGACACCGTGTCAGGGCTGGGACCCACCTGTATATCTCTGAGAAGTTTGTTGTGTCACCCTTCAGGCCCAGCAGCTCTGAGAGATTGAAGTTAGGGATTTTGCCAGGAGTGTCCAGGAGCTAAGAGCAAGGAAAGACATGGAGAAACTAGACATAGTGCAGGGCAGGACACCTTGGAAGAGCATATGAAATGGCTGGTGCTGCCTCTGCCCCAGCAGCAGCCCTCATTAGGAAGCAGTATCTCCAGGCAGTTTCCCCACAGCAAGCTTACCTGGAAGAGCTGCTGGTTGTGCCAGGACTCACAGAGGAGCATGTAAATGTTTCCCCCCACCACGAAGGTGATCATCACCAGCAGCATGAGCAGCCAGTAGAAGATGAAACTGAAGCCAACCCCTCTGCCGGGACAGAAATGCCGTCACCACCAGCAGCCCAGCACTGATGCTGACATTGCCCCCAGCTCGCGGAATCCGGGGGCTGCACACCCCTCACTCCCACAGTTGTGGGAACACCACCCTTCCCACAAGCTTGTCTCTGTTCTGCCTTCAGACCCCAGAGCGCAACCAGGCTCTGCCCTGGAGCTTGGACTCCACAATAGCTCCCCACAGCTCTGGAAGCCGGCACTCCCCCGCAGAGCTGCAGGGCCCACGCTCACACTGCCAGGCCTCGCTGCCATCATGGGCCAAACGGGCTCCCCCCAAACACCTCTCACCAGCACCATGATTGACCCTCAATTTACCACCTGCACGGGGAGTCACCACGGGGCAGCCATTAAGCTGCAGCAAAATGATTTAGGAGCTCGAGTGTTCCCAGAGCAGCCCTGCCCACCCATCCCACCGCTCCCACACGTGGCCTTGGCAGCCAGCTGAGCCTCACGCCATGAAGAAGTTCCCGCCAGCATCGGAGAGGCTGCTGCGCTGTGTGGGCAGCACACCTTCCTTCAGCCCCAGGGGCCCCAGCAGCAGCCCAAAAACGTTGCAGAGGACCACCAGCAGCACCGTGCAGCACAGGAGGGCACACAGGATCAACCTGGGGCAAGACAAAGGGCGGGAGTCAGGCAGCAGAACCTGGGACCCTCAGCAGCACCCTGCAGCCCACCGGCTGTCTTCATGGGGAGGAAAAAGGTCCCAGACAGCACAGCAGGGAAGGGGCATGTGTCTGCAAGGCACAGCTCTGAGTACCCTGCACCCACAACCCCACCACCCAGCAAAGCCCCAACTCCAGCAATGGGAGAAGCAGGAGCCCTAAAACCCCCCAGACAATGGGGTCCAGCCCCTCTCCCACCTGAGCCCATCCCAGGCCACGATTGGCTCCCTGTACTTCTCCAGCATGGATGTGGCATTGTTCACAAAGGCCCCAACTTCCTGCTCCACATCCAGGAGTGGCAACCTTCCCTGCAAGTTCCTGATCTCCTGCCTGATGAGGAGCAGCTGATCCTGGCTCTCTGCAAGGAATGGGGACACTCTGACATTCTGAGCTGCTGCCCAGGTCCTGCAGGGCAGAGGGGACTCAGAAAGGATAGGAAAGGGGCAGTCATGGCCAAGGATGACATTGGCATGATGGAGCTGGGGACAGCCAGGGCTGCAGAGAAGGCCTCCAGGAAAGAATGGCTTGAGAAGAGAGGAGGGAATCCCAGAAGAGGGAGAAGTCAGCACACGAAGCCCTGCTTACTTGCCACCACCTCTTGGGACTGCTCTTGCACCTTGTCGGGGGTCATGCCCAGCGTTGTGTTAACCTGCACCCAGGGAAGCACAGCATGAAACTCACATCCCTGCCTGCAATCCAGGGCTGAGCAGCACATCCCCTTGAACCCAGATCCTAGTAACACACAACAGCCAGGCTCCCCACAGCACCCAGTCTACCCTATCAGTGTGCAGGGATGGCTGGGACAGCGAGCAGACCTCTGGCCAGCCCTTCCCTCTGTGTGACACACTGAACTCCTGACAGAGCTCTTCCCCACCCACAGCCTGTCAGCACAGCCTCAGCAGCTGCAGGAGCACCCAGCTTTGTGCCTGGGTGAAGGAGACACCCCTTACCTCCTCCAAATCAGACTTTATGTTTGACTCAGAGACCTCACGCAGTGCCTGCAGCTGCTGCTCCACACCTGGGATCTGTGGGGAAGAGCCTGGGGTGAGGGAGCTGTGGGGGCTTGGGCAGGGGACCCCTCACCCACCCCCTGCCCTCCTCACCGTGCTGAAGTTGGCACTGAAGGCGAGCCCCTCCAGGGACACTTGGCTGCAGGGGAGGCCACATTTCTGCAGGGTGCCATTGAGCCTGTCCCTCAGGCTGACCAGCCCCTGGCTGTAGCTGCTCTGCAGCTCCTCGAGGTCTGAGCGGCGGTTGGCAATGTTGGCAAAGATGTTATTCAGTGTCTCCATCCCTGGGGAGAGAGCAGGGAGCTCACATCCTGCCACTGTGGCAGGGACTCCTTCTCATCCAACTGAACCTTGGGAACCCATGAAAAAAGGCAACATAGGGGCACCCCCAAAGTCATGGCACTTGTCCCAGGGTGTGGTTGGGAGGCCAAAGGGACCCACCTCCATGGGATTCTTACCCAAAAATGCACCCACCCCATCTCTTGATCCCCCTGAGTCCCTTACCAGTCTCCCAGGGATAGGGCCGGTACCTTGCAAGAGGCTCTGGAGAGACCCCAGAGCCCCATCCGTGCTGTTCCTGATGCGGGAGGTGATCATGCTGCCCAGTTTGGGCCCAATGTCTGCAGAGATGGGAGAGGTGGTGTCAATAACAAGTTCCCTGCAAGGTCCTGGGGCTTGCAGGAAAGCTGGTGAAAACACTGACACCACCAGCACTCCTCCCTCACCCACCCCCCAGGTGGGAGGCAATGGGAATATCCCCAGTCTCCCACCACCCACATCACCCTTCCCAGAGAGGAGCCTGAATAGGGAGAAGCAGAAACTGGAGCAGAGCTGGAGCTTGGAAGAGCCTGCAGACTCAGATCCTTTAGACATCCCCATAAGAACAAGCCCAGTGGCCTGCAGGGTCAGCAGCCACCCACAGGGCAGAAAGGCAAACCCACACAACACTCCCACTGCCCAAGAACCCCCAGCCCTGGAGCAGCTCCCACAGGGCCCTGGGGATGCTCCAGCCCCTCCCGTCGCACACCCTCACCCTGCAGGCTGCGGTTGGCATAGCTCAGTGGGACATCGCTCTTGTTGATGACAAAATCAACTTGCTGCAGGGACAGAGATGTGGTGTCAGTGAGGGTGGGGAGCTTTCTCTGCTGCCAGCCCCTCTGCTGCCCTTCCCCCGGGGCTATTTGGGCTGCTCCTCCCGCCTGGCCCCTTGCCCCCAAGCCATGGCAGGGGGCCCATGCGTGCCTGGGGGATGGAGGCCAGGTAGGTGTGGACGTTGTCCAGAGTGTTGTTCACATTGGGGAAGGTGCTCTTCACAGCCTGGGAGAAGCGGCTGTTGCTGATGAGGGCACAGACACCACCAGCCCTACAAGGCAAGGGTGCAAGGTCAGTCCCAACGCTTCCCCCAGCACCTTCCAAATCCACCCACACAGACCCCAGCCCGCAGGGTCTGGAGCACACCAGTGACCCCTGATCCCAGTGCATCCCCGCCCGTGCCCTGCCCCGAGGGACCAGAGAGGAGGGGCGCAGGGAACTGGGGCAGGGCAGAGCCCGGCAGCAGTGGGGAAGCTGCGGGG